CACACACACACACTCGCTCTCTTTATTCAGCCTATAGGTCCCTCGAACAATACTGCTTTTCTTTCTCTTTCTCTTCCCAAATCCAATGGTCATTCCTATATATAGGATAATAAGAAATAACTTCACTGTAAAGCTAATATCTTAAGGGTGTAAGATGTAAATGAATATGCTTTGGAAAGTGTTGATGTCAGCAATATGTACCCTCCTTACATAACCTGTGTGTCCCACTTTATATAGGTCCCATTTTTAAAATCATCTCCATTTGTTTTGGTTGTAGGCAGAATACTTGTGGGTTGAAGTCCAAGAGATGAATATCAAGAGTTCAGAATTAAAGGTTTCACATAATTTATATTTAGAGCTGTGAAGCAACTCAGACAAAGCACCCTTTGTTTGACCTAAACCAAGTGAGCAAAAATATTTTAACAGGTGGGTTACAGATGGTTCTTGTTGCCTCTTTAGATCAATTTAATTTAAACATTACAGATCTCTGAATGTCTATTATTGGCTTTGGACTAGGATTTCTCCTTTGAAAGAAAAGCTGAACTCCTGTTGTTTCATTTTCATCATGTGATCTTAAACCCAAGGGTTTGTACAGCAAAAACAAAGGAGTACGTCTTGCTGTTCAAACTGTTGAGGTAGTTGGTCCATTTTTAGTGCAGATGATGGATTTTGTTGTGTGATATTTTTTCAGGTCACCTACTCAGGGACTATAAACAGAAATGAGCTATTAGGTTTTTTATTTTTCAACTGTATTGTTTTTCTTTGTTCGAGAGTAAACTGTTTAAAGGTCCAGTGTGCAGGATTTAGGTGAAAGAGATCTATTACAAACATTTAATATAAAATAATCCTAGTGATGTTTTTACTAATTTGTAATCATCTAAATTGCAAGAATTGTTTTCTCCTCGAATGGGGCCTTTATATTCAAATACTTTATATTTACAGAGGGAGCAGGTCTTTTCTACGGAGGCCTCCATTTTCTTTTACAATAACACCAGACTGGACAAACTAAACACCTTTTGAGTTTTTATGACAACTGAAGGTTACCACAGGTTCTTTTTCATGTTTCGGAGGGGAGGGTGAGATGAGGGGTATTCATCTGCATTTCAAATGCAACTTCACCTCTAGATGTCACAAAATCTTACTCACTAAACCTTTAAGTATTTTCATCATTGCTAAATGACCCAAAAAATATTTTTGCATATCGGTATGTCACAACAGACAACATGTACGTTGATACTGATATCTGTGAAACACTTGCCAATAAATAGGCTCTACAATTAATGCATAAACACATTACACAGGGTTATTGCCACCGTACAGGAAGAAAATATAGACTTGTTATTGTATCCACCGCAGCTACACTTCAGTTAATTGTTTTGAAAAATATTTCATAGGCTAACTGCCCCCTCATCTGACCAGTTTGAATGGGTTTTACGTCCTTCTGATCATATACTTCAAATATTTACTACTATACAATTTTCTACAATACCTTTGCTTTATCCATATGACTAACTTATAGCCTTGTGACGTTTTTGCTTTTGTATTTTCTTGTAAAGCAGTATATATATACTATAATGGTGTATCACAGCCATTGTCAGTTAAAATTGCATTCATTTGTGTTTTTAGTTGAATGCATCTATGTAGCGCTTTCAGTCAAGAACCACTCTTGGCACTTGACACTACAAGTTCCAATCATTCACGCACATCATCCAGACACTAACATATTCTGGGCTAAAACCAAACACTATACTGATGAGGTCATCCACTGCAGGTGGTTTGTATTTTTCAAATATGACTTGGAAATCTCAGAAAATATTTATTGGTGAAATTATAGGCTTTATTGTGGTAAATTGTGGGATTTTTCTTGTAATATTGAACCTTGCTCAGCTCCTTTCTTTCTTTATTTTTTTTCACCTACAATGGTCTTTATATGCTGTCACAAGACAAAACCATCCTGGAATTCTTTGGTTTCTAAAATGTAATGATATGAACATTGTAATGCCAACCATATACATATGTTTAAAAAAAGAAATAATGGTTCTTGTCTGCTTGCCCTCCTCCTTCATCCTAGACAAAGAACAGGCTAAAACATACTTCGATCTTGAGAAACTTGTCCAGCACAAGCCATATGTGCCTCCCAAGAAAGAAGTTTCTGCAGCGACAGCCGTCGCTGCAGCTGAAACCGCCGCTGATCCAGTGCTTGGGGTTACTGTCACAGCTTCAACAACAGAATCCATACCTGTTGTTGAAACAGTCTCTGAATCTGTCCCAGTAGCAGAAGCTGAATTTGTCACTGAATTGGTTGCTGAAACTGTACCAGTGGTTGAGGTTGTTGCAGAAGCTGTTGCTGAAGTTGTACCAGTGATGGAAGCCATTGCAGAGGCAACTGCATCTGTTGCTGAAACTTCTGCTACTGCGCCAGAAGAGCTTGCTCAAGCTGCTCCCATTGAAGCAGTACCTTCAATTGCTGAAGCTCCTGCTGAATCAGCACCAGCCCCTGAAGCCCCTGTGGCTGAAGCTGCTCCTGTAGAAGAGGCCCCAGTGCCTGTGGCTGAAGCTGCTCCTGTAGAGGCGGCCCCAGCGCCTGTGGCTGAAGCTGCTCCTGTAGAAGAGGCCCCAGCGCCTGTGGCTGAAGCTGCTCCCGTAGAAGTGGCCCCAGCACCTGTGGCTGAAGCTGCTCCCGTAGAAGCGGCCCCAGCACCTGTGGCTGAAGCTGCTCCCGTAGAGGCGGCCCCAGAGTCTGTGGCTGAAGCTGCTCCCATAGAAGTGGCCCCAGAGTCTGTGGCTGAAGCTGCTCCAGTAGATGCTGCCCCAGCGCCTGTGGCTGAAGCTGCTCCTGTAGATGCGGCCCCAGCGCCTGTGGCTGAAGCTGCTCCCGTAGAAGAGGCCCCAGTGCCTGTGGCTGAAGCTGCTCCCGTAGAAGAGGCCCCAGTGCCTGTGGCTGAAGCTGCTCCCGTAGAAGAGGCCCCAGCACCTGTGGCTGAAGCTGCTCCCGTAGAAGCTGCCCCAGCACCTGTGGCTGAGGCTGCTCCCGTAGATGCGGCCCCAGCACCTGTGGCTGAAGCTGCTCCCATAGAAGCAGCGCCCGCGGCTGAGGCAGATGTCATAGATGCGGCCCCAGCGCCTGTGGTTGAAGCGGATGCCATAGACGCGGCCCCAGCACCCGTGGTTGAAGGGGATAGCGTGGACATGGCCCCTGCGGCCGAAGCTGCTCCCGTAGAAGTGGCCCCAGTGGAGGTTTCTGCCTCTGTAGAAAGTGCTGAAGAGCTGGTGGACCCTGCTCCAGTCGTAGCTGAAGCTGCAGGAGAGGAACTGCAGGTGGAAGCCCCAGCTGAACCAGTTGAACCATCTGAGGGTACAAACTACAACCTCCCCCTCTCCTACAACCCTTCTCTTTTCCTCTGTGGATCCTACAATCCTACCAGCAGTCATTTTCACCACCGTTAATATAAATACACAATAGTTGTTTGTGATGAGTGTAAAGATAAACTGTAAAGATAACCAACATCACAAACACATTTTTGTTCTAGCATTGCACACCAAGCACATATACCCCTACCTGGCCCCTACTGGGTCATTGGTCATGTAGCTCAAGTTGTCTCATATGTTTGTGCTGCTTCAGCCATTTTACATGTAATAGGTGTGTGATAGATGGCTTGCTGTATGTACACACGCATTTTTCATGTCATAGTATCAACTGCCTGCTAACTGTATTCACCGCTTTCATTCAAACTCACTGCATGAACAGTTCTTTCCACCTTTACTCATTGCCTTTTTAAATTTTGAAAATTACAAAATATCATTGGTCTAAGGTCCACTGTTAAAATATTAGCACTAACAATTTCCTAGTTGTGATGTGATGCAACTGTTTTATTTGAGTTTTTATTTTTTTACTATAGATAATATAATAGGTACTGCTTCCACTGGTGAAGGTGTATGTCACGGATTCCCCTGTCACCTGACATGTTTTTATTGCCTATATATATGTATTTTATTTTTTTTATTCCTGTCCTACTCCTCCTCCCTTCTTGACAGTTCTCATACTAATTGGGAGATGCATGGTAAAAGTAAAATGTAATCAGTCCCTTCATGTTTGATCCGACTGTTGGGAGTATTTTGCTCATGGATAAAGGTTAAATGTGAACTTTCCTTGATGGTGAAAGCACTTGGTGTGACTGCAGCCTGGTTACTGTGTGTTTAGCCAGGTTCTTGGACTTCATTCAATTTATTGAATTACTAGTGTTTGCAATCGATATATTGCAACAATGCTGTGAATGGGTAGCATAGCATGACACAGCAACCTTTGAACCTGTAAACTAACCGAACCTCTCGCACATTTTTTCTGTCAGACCACTGTAGCTGCCTACTCTCTACCACCAAGTGCTGTTTTCTGCATGAGGGTTACAGTTAAAACTAGATGGGTTATAACTAATTCAATATATGATTTCCGTATATTCTGATATTAGAGTGTTTTTCCATGAAGAGAAATTAATTGTTGTTCTTCTTGTGACTATCAGCTCCAATGGACCCCATTCAGAAGCTTTTCCTGGACTCCATACGCGAGTACTCGACAAAAAGCCAGTGAGTCTCACTGCATTTATCTCTTGAGAAACTTAACAGTGCTGTTGCGCTGTAGTTACATTTGCTAAGGTTTAGTAGAGGTTCTGCTAAATCAGACATTGGAGAGAGGTAAACTGTAGCAGTGTGGTCATTCAGATCAAGAATGATATGTAATAGACGATTCAGAAGCAGATATTATTTCCTGACTGATTCTTCTCTAGCTTTGTGTTCTGCTAGTGCCCTTTTTTACTTTCCGATTTTCCAGCTGGTTTTGAATTTAGCCCTCAGTGGGTTGATGATTTTGGTTTCCATTGACCATTGGCACATCATTTTGTTACAGAATGTACATCAGTTAAGATTTTCAACTTGAATAATTTGTTCATCAATATCTGATCATATACTTCAAATATTGAAGTATGTATTGAGCAGTGTATAGTAACACATACAAATTCAAGCTAAGACATGGCAATTTAATGTTATATCCATGGTTTCATTTTAAGCTGTGTGTCCTTATGATTGTTCCATTCAAATAAATGCAATGTAAAATTTGATTATTTCAGCGGATGATTGAACTGATTTCATGCCTGTTAAGTGCATTTTAAGTTGGCAGAAAATGAAATGACTCATAGCTGATAGCTGATTTTTGTCCTTGTCCTATAGGGCTGCTGGGGGGCTGGTTGACGCAGGTTCAGAATATGAGAAGGCTTTAGCAGAGGAGATTGCAAAGCTTCAAAGACTTTATGGTGGTGGAAACATAACATCTTTCCCAGAGTTTAAATTCACAGGTGAGTCAAATGAATTAACTATTTTAACCACTGACCACTGAATTGCCGTGTGAGGCAGATCTCCTGCTTCGAATTCCTGAACTTTTTTTTCACACTGAAAGGTTACAGATGACATTTTAATGTAACATAAGCCCCCTGTCCATAGAAACTTATGCCTCTCACTGAAAACAATAACCTGTCTCGTATAAGAGGTTTTTTTTTTTTTTTTCAAACCTCATCTGCTCCTTGGGTGTCATCCGAGCGCTGCACAGATCACGATTGTCTTTACAACTCTGAGTGTATTGTTCCTATGCGCCGGGCAGGTAATGTTCGGTTCCAGCAGCTGACAAAAATGGATCGTTCCCCCCGATAAATGCCAATCTGGCTTTGTAGTACAGGCTTCAGACTGTGACATTGGTTGACAGAAGCTGAAACTCACCAAAATGTGGTCACATTTTTGGTTGTCAATATAAAATAGTTACCTTAGATCGCACTGTTAAAGAGGCGACACAATATGTCTAAAAACAAACCAATCAGAAAATATCATGAAATGATCCAGAAGACACCAATCAGCATTTCCTTGTTACATTAGCTCCATCCTGCCCTTCCCCTCCTCGTGTATTTTTCAGCTCTGTGGCAGAAGATTGTTTATTGTTTCGCTAATAGAAGAACAGCACAGGTGGATGCCACAAGATGATGATGTGCATCTGTTGTCCCTGTTGTCTGTGGTCTCCACACCTTCTAAAATTTCGAAGTCAAGGGTTTATTTTGTTTAATTTACAATACATGATTCAAATAAGTATTGTGTAATCCCAGATGGGCAGATTTCGCAGAGTTCACAAACAACACAACACAAGCGCAACACTGACCATAGACATGAAACATGGACTAACAGCTCTGCTTTGTGTTCTTTTTTTTAGAGCCCAAGTTGGATGAAGTTTCCCAGAAGTGAACATCAGCACTTTGCAATGAACCTTTTCTACGCACACCTGTTTCCTGTACATCTCCATAGTGAAACATTAAATGTCTGCTTACTGTCAAGTTGCATCAAACCCTTGAATCTTGCTTTGTATGTCAGACTAGAGCTGTTTCAATGACTAGATATGGAAGCTAAAGTATTGCATATTTAGCAGACAAAGTGCAAGTGAGCTGTGACATAAACTTTGTGTAGATTGATTCGTGTCTGAGCTTAGTATAAGAAAAACATTAAATTCCATTTCATATCTATTGTCTATACACCTCTTTCTGATGCTGACATCCCCACCAATGAATCTTGTTAATGTTGAATGTGACTCTGTCTTAGCTCAAACTCACATTGACCAGTCGTGTGAATGGACATAGTATTATTCTAAGTTAAATCTGCAAGCAGCCTTGAACAGACCATCGCAACCCCATAACATGTCAGGGGTACAGACAGGTAGCTGGTATAAATCAAAGCTCTGAACTACATGATTTTCAACCTTGTGGGTGTTCGATCAGTGGTCATCAATCACTGTGTGAAATCTTCAAAGGTGTGATCATACCAACAAGACCCATGCTGTGGCATTGTTTCATTACTTTTGTCCATGTCTCTGGAGGTGCAGCAGAGAATGGATATTCTGAAAACAAACTCAATACCTACCTTTTGTCAGGATCTTGATTAAATGTATTTATACAAGTTAGTGTTTTACTTTTTTCATTTTATGCATTCAATTACTTCAATTCAAATTATTTTTTCCTCATTCAGTATTTTATCTTTATCATTTTCCCATTTCTTTTAGCACTATATTGTTTTAATCGACCCTTTTCACATCTTAATATTTAATTTGGTCGCATGTACAGAGAAAATGACATCACATTTTTTTTTCCTGTATTGGCGTCACTACACCAGCTTTCTGTTAAAAATTAAAATAGAACTTAAATTTCTCTGCCTCAACTACACAGCCCTGAATGATACAGCACCATCATATCTTGTGGAGCTCATAGTACCAGATCACCCTACTAGAGCACTGCGTTCCCAAAACTCAGGCTTACTTATTGTCCCTAAAGTCTCTAAAGGTGGATTAGGAGCCAGAGCGTTCAGCTGTCAGGCTCCTCTCCTTTGGAATCATCTCCCAGGTTCAGTTCAGAAGGCAAACACCCTCTCTACGTTTCAGAGTAGGCTTAAAACCTTCCTTTATGATGACTTAATTTAACTCCATCAGTCTTCACAGTAGGCCTACAATCAGCTCTAACTACTTATTCACATTAATGTCTCATCAATACATGTTACTGACTTCTCTTCCCCGGAGTCCTGGTGTATTATTTGCCAAACCAGGATTACTGCTGCGGCCACATCACGGATTGTAATGGTGGATCGTGATCATGGATCGTGACCATGGATCATAGATCATCATGGTGGATCATGGGACCGTAGATCGTGATCATTATCTTGGTGGCAGCTGATAGTGGATTATGATTACAACTAGATTGCTTATATATACAATATGCCTATTCACATACAATACTATTAAGGGCAATGACTATCATTACAATTGTCATTGATGCTCCCTTAATTTTGTCAGATTATTTTTTACATAAAAGACATACTTAAAAGGTTGATACTGTCAAGCTTGGAGAAAATTATGTTATATGTGTTGTAATAGCCCTTTAAAGGTATTTCAACAGGTATAAAGGACTGCATTAGCTATAGTCGTCCAATAAAACACTCATGAAAAGTGCTAAACAAGCGAAGATTGATGGCTCCATGGCACGTGCCAATCATGCATTTTGTTGCTGTGTATAACATTTAGACCAGACCATAAAATGTTTGAATGATTGTGATATGTGGTGTACTTTCTGTTGCCAGTAGGTGGTGCTACAACTGAATATTGGTATGTAGATTATTCTAGGCTGTAACTCTGGTGTAAACAATGTCACCAAAGAGATGCTGGTAGCTGAATGATGGCATTCAAACAGCTATTAACAGAATTAAGTAATTTCACTGTGAAAAAAGACACACCTGAACTAAACTATTGCACTTCTGCCCATCTTAGGAGAGGGATCCCTCACATGTGGCTCGCTATGAGGTTTCTACAGTTTTCTTCCCCTGTTAATCTGTGTTTTTTGGTAGTTTTTTCTAACTCTTATTGAGGGTTTAGGACAGAGAATGTCGCACCTGACACGAGGCGGGTAGAAGAACCCAGATGCAGACTCGGATGCAGAAAATAAATATACTTTTACTGAAGAATTGCAAGATTTACATGTAAAGCTGTTTTGCTATTGAAGATCCTCCACAGTGTGGTCACTGATCACTGAAGATGGCCTGCAGGTGTGCTGCTTCTCCCAGCAGCAATCAACTAGAGGAAGAGAGAGAGAGGGGAGAGAGACACAACCAAAACACAACAGGCACACAGCATTCATATGAAAGGAAGATTGAAAAAAAAAAAAAAACATATTCCCACAGGGGCTCATGGGGGTGGGAAGGTGACAGTTTCCCTGCTTGACAGCTAGCACACCGCACAATGCACCATCAAGACTGAGACATAAGATAAGAGGTAAAGGACTTTGAATACATGTACACAATGACTGGTGCTCTAACAGCCGCTTCATTGACTGTTACTGCTCACCTGATATCACAACTCTAACAATCACTCACAGACCCTTCTACCTGCTGAGAGAGTTGACAATTGTGGTTGTCACAGCTGTTCACGTTCCTCCAGATGCTTATATTTGCTCAGCCCTAGGCCACCTATATAACAATGTCAACAAACATCAGAGGGCCTATCTTGAGCTCTCTCTGACTGTTTTGCACAGACTAAATTGGATTTATTTAAACATCAGAACCTATAAGAATACGCTCAAACTGTTCTGTTTTACATCACAACCTGTGTCACCTTTAGAAAACGCATCTGGGTTTTACCAATCAAAAACCCTGGATGACCTGAAGAGAGGGATTAAGGACAGCAAAAGAGTCTACAAAAGGAGAATTGAGGACTACTTCACAGACAACGCAAGGAGGGTGTGGTATAGAAAGCACTTAAGGCATTTTTAATATAATCATTCCAGATGTTCTGATCAACACTGGCTCCCCCCAGCTTAGCAAATAACCTGGAATTAAACATAAAAAATTAAAGAACTCATTATAGAATTCAAGAAGTGCACTGCAGACATCCTTCCCATTTTCATAAATGGAGATTGTGTGGACCGAGTTCACGGCTTTAATTTCCTGGGAGGCCACATACTGCCTTATAGTGTGGTATGCTGGCTGCTTGGCAGCTGACAAGAAAGTACTACATAGTAATTGTTAACACAGCACAAAAAATCATGGGTGCCTTCCTTCACTTCAAGACATCGCAAACATACGTTACCTCTCTAGAGCCCAAAACATTTTTAAGGACTGCTCTTACCCTGGCCACTCTGTTTGAACTGCTGCCCTCACAGGAAGGTGTTACAGGTCGCTAAAAAGTCAAACCTCCAGACTCACATACAGTTTCTTTTCTAATGCCATTTGTGTATGGGGCTTTTTATATATTTAAATATGTTCCTATACACATTATATTACATTACATTATGTAAAAATAACTGAATTTGTAAACTGCTCGGTTTGGTTCGATTCAGTTGGCAGTGCACACTGCAAATAATAGAGACACAGTTTACACACATGAATCACTGACAGAGCCTGTAAAACATTTTTTATGGTCCAAACGTATTTAAAAAAACAAAATCAACACTGTAGGCAGATAAGTTGATCACCATAACCAAATTATCTAAACAGCATTTATTTCTGAATGATTCTGTCCCAAGCTTTTTGATCCATACAAACAGTTGATCACTATATTTGTGTTTACTTTAAGCGGTTTCCACTTTGGACAACTAAGGAAAGCATTTTCAAGACAAGAGAGACAATGTTGACGATTACTTCGCACAAACAATGTGCAAAGTTATAGACAGTTATTGTGTCTTGAATTACTAACCAAACTTAATTTATGTAAGCCACCCTGCGAGTAGATCTTTTTTGTTAAAAAGTAAGATCCCTTTTTCCTTAATTTCTTTATGAGAAAAAAATTACTGAGTCAATGTAAAAGTGACCCTCTTTTAAGTCGAATGCAGTGAACTAAGGGTTTATTCTGACCAAACCAGAATTGGTGATGATTGAAACAATTATAGGTTTGTTTAAGATGATTTGATTATGTTTTTTTGGGATCGATTTTGGTGGTTTTGGCTGGCGTGGCATAAGAGCTTCTGATTGAAAAGGAAAGGAAAATGGAGCTTACTCTAAAAAAGAGGCAAATCACCATAGGGATCTGTAATAACCAAATCCATGATTTTTAAATCAATTTGTAATGTTGGACTAGACATTTGGCATTTTCTGTATAGCCTATACAAAGTGATTTAATTGGTGCAGATTAAAGGGATAGTTCACCAAAAATTTTTTGAATCACTCATCATCTACTCACCACTATGTTGATGGAGAGGTGGGTGAAGTCTGCAAAACACTTTGGGAGTCTTGGGGGTAAACTTTGTTGCAGCCGATTCCAAAACAATTAAAGTAACCGACGACTTATACTTCAGAATAATAAAACAACAGAAAAAACTGAACATGCTTTCATACTGCTCTTGTGGTGTCATCCAAGTGTCTGCAAGCACCCGAAATTCATACTTGACTCGAAATGACATCATTTACAAATCATTGATTTGTTAAAAAGTCCTTGATCCATCTACATGTGTGCAGACTGACCCGGGGGTTTGCAGTTTGGTTACCATTCTGCTGTTGATGAACAATGAGCTGAAGTCCACGAACAACATCCTCATGTAAGTCCTCTTTTGTTCCAGGTCAGCCAGTGCGGTGTGGAAAGCTGTGTTGATGGTGTCCTCAGTTAAAATGTTGACTCTGTAAGCATTGATGTTGATGTGGGAGGAAGTGCGGTTTTGATGAAATTGAGGGCCTTTCTCTCAAAGCAATTCATCAAAGTGGAGCTGACAGCCACTGGTCTAAAGTCGTGGAGCTTTTGATTGCAGTTTTCTGAGCACCTGAACACATCTGCCAGCTGATCTGCAAAGTCTCTGAGTGCCCTCTAGCTGGTCAGGGGCCAAAACAGGGGTCAAAAAGACACGACTCTGACACTTGGTGGCATTTTATATTGGGGCTGTGGTCTGACATCATCTGAGCTAGAATTGATGCCAGGCTGCAAGTAGTTAACAGCATCCTTGATGGCTCTTTTCAGCTTGGATCTGGCAACACTGTACAATTCACTGTTGCCAGACATCATGTTTGTCTCTAAGCAGATGCTTGACATCCCTAGTCATCCATGGTTGATTGTTTGGAAAGCATCGAATGCAATCTTTTATTCTGCCTCAGCAGCACCTGACATCATCTACATCACAGGCATTTATTTTGTGGGAGAATCATTTTGCATACCCAATCCAGCCTTGAATTAATTCCACTCCTATATCACCACACACTATATCGGTCATGCATTTTTTACCAGCATGCTGAGAAACATTCTTCTGTAGGGTTTAGGAAGGAAGTATATAGATTCCGATGAACAAGACGAACCATGGAAACAGGACAATCTAACAAAGACTTATATACACAAGGGAGGCAGGGATAATTGAACACAGCTGAACCACATAAGGGCCCGGGGCCCGGGGACCGGACAGACAGGCGAAGCCAGGAACCATTGCTTGGTCTCACGGGGATCAGGTTGATCAGGTGGACGCAGCTATGGAGACTTTTGCAGCATGGGTTCTGGAGGACATTGCAGCATGGGGAGGAATATGGTCTCAGCTCAGCACAGTGGGTTCACCCTGAGGGTACAAACCCAGAACAACAAGAATCAAGTAAGTACAATTTACTTCAAAAAAGCATAACGACAAGTCCTCCATGTAAGTGCCATATAAATGCAACTAAAATTTTGTATCTTATTTTTATTTTTTATCCAAGGTGTAGTCGGAAGAGATGTGTCATTAGTCTGTGGTGGAAGATATGTAAACTTTCTGCTGTCCTGATTTTAATGGGGAGCTCGTTCCACCATTTAGGAGCCAGGACAGCAAACAGTCATGATTTTGTTGAGGGGCTAGTTCGCAGTGAGGGAGCAGCAAGCCGATTGTCAGATGCAAAGTGGAGTAGACAGACTGGGGAATAAGGCTTGACGATGTCCTGGATATAGAATGGACCCGATCCGTTCACAGCACGGTATGCAAGTACCAGTGTTTTGAAACGGATGCGGGCAGCCACTGGTAACCAGTTAAGGGAGTGGTGGAGTAGGAAGGAGTAGTGTGAGTGAGGGAGGAGCAATAGACTAGGTGTGAGATGACCAGAGCTTGGGCCAGAATTAGTGCCTTTTTTTGAGTGAGAAGGGGACATATTCTCCTGATGTTGTGCAGCATTTATCTACATGAGCGGGATGTTGCAGTAAAGTTGTCAGTAAGGGAGAGTTGACTGTCGAGTGTCACACCCAGGTTCCTAGCAGTCTGGGTGGGGGTTACCACAGAGTTGTCATTGGTAATAGTCAGGTCATGGGTGGGAGAGCCATTCCCTGGAAGGAAAAGTAATACAGTCTTGTCAAGGTTAATTTTCAGGTGATGTGCGGACATCACACATCTCTGGCTTTCCTGGGATATACAAGTGCTGGATTTATCAACATGGCCTGCTTCCAAGACTTATGTGGCTCCGGACTATGTACGAAGTGCCTATAACATCTTTTGAATGACTGGAAATGAAGTATGGGAGTACCTTCAAGTTTTACATGTGTTGGTTTGTACAAAAGGTACACATACGGACTCTACTTGACATACCGGGACTCTTAAGATGAAGGAATAAGGACAAGGTCTGGGGGGGAAGTGGGTCACCAATACTGCAATCAACCAGGCAGAATATTTCCTAAAGACTAGGGACAGCATTGGCAACCTCCGTCTGCGAAGACAAGGCCTAGGACAACACATTTCCAAAACCAGTCAAAGTCCACTCCCCCCGGGGAGAGAGAACCTTGATCCAGGAAAAATCTCGAGGAGAAGGGGAGAAGAGGGATTGCCATCCAGCTTGGAATGCTCCTCAGGGCAATAACATGGACTGAAATGAAAGGATCCCCTGTGCGGGCTGTGTGGAGAAAGAGGAACCATGGCACAAATCTTACCAGGGTGCAAAACAGCTTTGACCCAGGGGAGATACAGGTGATGCCATAATAACATTTTTATAATGCTCACTGACATCTTGGAGCAAGAAAGACGAATGAAACTCCCAGCCAAACAAAGTCTGTTGTTGAGTACCATCAACTTGTCAAAAAGGGTTCAGAAGCCTCCCGTCACAGGAGGAGCAAAACAAACCGTTGAACTCTTGTTGGGAAGTGGGAACTGTTGCAGTTAGTAGCTGGAGGTTGGCGTAAGTGGAGTGAATTACCCCTCAGACTCTTAGAGTGTTTTGTGGATTCAAACACTTCACTCACCCCTCCATCAGCATAGTAGTGAGTAGATAATGAGTGAATTTTCGGATAACTATCCCTTTTAGATGCTTTAAATGCCAGAGAATGGGGCTTACTGCCACTCGTTGTTGTGGGGAGAGAACTATTGACGTGCTGACATGCTACAGTAAGCGTATTGCATCATTTCCTGTTTTCCTGCCACTGGTGGTGGTCACCCTCTGTGAACTAGAGAGCAGATTTTCTCCACTCAACCACCATAGTCAATTGCATGCCAGTGGCAAGAGCAGGCAACAGCGAGTCCAAACTGAAGCTGTTGGCAAAAGCTAAACATAAATATAGTAATCATATAATAAGATCAACTCCTGGGTTCCTATGTCAGAGTTCACTAAAGTTAATGTGGAGTCGGTGTGTTCTTTTGCAAAAATGATGTTGGACTCCATAGTTTTCTCTGAACCTCTTCCTAATACAACCGGTTATGACATGTTAAGCCACATGTTGTCATTTAATCGCTGGCTGTCAAGGTGGTGTCCTGCAAATGGAGTGGGCTTTGTAGACAATTGACAAACGTTTTGGAGGAAACCAACTACAGAACAATATCCAACCTGCGGCCACATCGTCGTTTATGATGATGGATCACGAATCAGAGATCATGATCATACTGGCGGATCATGCATTGTGCTGGGTGATCGTGATAGTAATGGCGGTTCCTGTATTGTGCTGGCATTTAATGGTAGTGGTGGACCATGATCGAGGTGGCAGCTGATGGTGGACTATAATTACAACAAGACTGGTTGATATGCAATATGTTTACTCAGATACTGCCAATAATTCCTCAATATATTAATCTATCATTTACGTATTCACCTTACCTGACGTTCTCCGTTACACGTTGCATCTATTGAACTTCTGTCCGTCCTAGGAGAGGGATCCCTCACATGAGGCTCTCTCTGAGGTTTCTATGTTTTTTTTTTGTTTGTTTTTCTTTACTATTGTTGAGGGTTAAGAACAGAGGATGTCACACCTTGTTAAGCCCTATGAGACAAATTGTAATTTGTGAATATGGGCTATACAAATACAATTTGATTAACTGATTGAGAAATATGAGCTAGATATGGTGGAAAAATGGGATATTAGACACTCCTAAGCAGTAGTTGGCGACATGAACCTTGGACGTCAGTTTGTACCCCGCCATTAAAGGAGGAACCATTGGTTGGAGGAGGAAGTTATGTGTTGTGGAACGGTTGGATCGGAAAATAATTTAGATACTTTGGCCTTGAATACAATTTTTGGATTTAGGATTTGGCGGTTGTCATGAACTGGTTTGTGACTGGATTAGGGTGGTGACTAAGGATGATGATATGCCTTTGGATGACTGAACCCCAGAACCTTATTGAAAAAGCTGCAAGCAAATGTATTATATTGAATTATTTGTGTGTATTATAAAAAATACAAATAAGGAATTTTGGGGGGAATTTTGTAATTCCTTTGGAAGGGAGACAAAATAAGTGAAATAGAGTATGGAGATTGATAAAAAGAATGAATGGGATTAAACGAGAATATGGGTATCCCGTTTTAAATTAAATGAAATGCTATCAAATAATAGCAGTGAAAGATGAGGAGAAACTCTTGTTTAAATTCATAGCTCAGACAACATTAGTGAAAGGGGAAAAGAGGAAGAGAAACTATGATAGAAGAGAATGAAGATTTACAACAGCAACAGGCAGATACTTCTGCCTCAAAGTTGGAGAGAGGCTGCTGTGGTACCAATACGCAAACCAGGGAAGAGATTGCGCAAACCCAGAGAATTATAGACAAATTTCTTTAACATCAAACATCTGCAAAATAATGTAGAAAATAATAAATGAAAGGTTAACATATCATGTAGAAAATAAAAGATATTCATCCAACTGAGAGTGGCTTCAGGAAAGGGAGAAATAAAATAGATCCAACTTTATGCTTGCAACTTGAAATTAGGAAGGCAAAAAAAAGTGTTGTGGCTGTCTTTGATTTAGATAAGACATATGATATGATGTGGAGAGACAGATTATTAATTAGATTTCGCAAATTAGGTATTGAGGGAGGTTGAAGGAAAGGTGGCAGAAGCAATGGGATTGAAGACACGAAGGACTATGGTTTTACTAAACACCAAAGTAACAATAATATCAAGACTCAGATTTGGACACACAGGACTAAACAGTACTTTGCAAATAAGGAAACATGATGAAAATGTGCTTATTGTGGGCAAGAGGTAAGAGTTCATCATGTCATAGTACCCTATCCAAAATATGAGCAAATCATTTTGACAACTCAAAAAGCGTTATCAAATATCATTTCACTATCTTAGAATAACAATTATAAATGAGAGAATATATGTTTTTTTTAACTCAAAAGAATAGATAATATAATTATAAGACATCGTCCATACCAGCAGGCGGCGGTAATGCATCAAATTGTTGTTTGCCAACAGCAAATAAAACCCAAAAGAAGAACTGTCGCGTTTACCCCACAGTCTTTGGTTACCTCAGTTTCCCACCGGAGCATAACACAGGGAACACAAAATGGCGACATCCATGCTGCGATTAGGTCGACTGGGTTCTTTCAAGGTAACAACAAGCCAGTTGTTTCCCCGACGTTTTAATGTAACGTAATTGTAGAGCATACACGAACACAGAGCAGCATAGCGTTTATTTAAGATGGCGCAGGCGAAATACGGACCCAGGACCCTTAAAAGTTTGCGTGCTTCAGAGTCACCAGCTAGCATCTGTACACAAACATCGTATCCCAATTCACATCGTAACACCATCACATTTATACAAATAATCATTCAGAAACTTAGTATCGATACATCACATTGCTTTTAATTTATTTGACATTTTGTCCAGGGTGACACAAGTGTGCTGTGGTAGTGGTTTCAGTCTGGTCTGAAAATATGACCTTTAAAATGAAGCATTTATATAGTAACACATTATTGCGTTAGTTTTCTTAAGAAACAACACAGATCATTTATTTTTTAGAAATACTAGCAAGGTACTTGCATCACACTACCAGTAATTCAGGTGTCTATAACTGAATGATTTGCAATGTTGGTCAGAGAAATAGCTCAGTTCTAATGGATACTATGGTCTCTGAGAAATAATTGCTCACGATGTTTGCAATTGCTATATGTTATATGCAGGATTGAATTATATTTTAAAACTATAAGTGTAAAGTAAAGAATTTTAATTTAATTTTAGTACAGTTTCTCAAACGCTTAGCCTAATGAGTCACTGTCTTCATTTCAATCAGGTTTTTTTTTTACAAATTCTGTTTCTGCTGCTGTGTTTAACTAAATGCAGTTTCCATCTTTGGTTAACCAACCAGGGCAGTCAAAGCTCTGTAGACGAGGTTAAGAACATCTTCCTGTGTGAGAGGCTAATAAAATATATTTTATTGAGCATCCATATTACAAGGTATCCACAGAACAAGATACAAGAAAAACAAACTAGCTACTTTTCAATCTTCACAATATATATATATATATATATATATATACAGTTGACAATCTTAGGTTTACTTACCAAACACTACTACAAATTCAATTTCAACAGAACACGTTGACAAGATTAATATATACATGAACATGTTAACGAGGTCAAATAAAATAAACGATTCAATCTGATGATCAGGCTCCAGAATGTGATATAAGACAAGAGTACATATGACATGTCAGTGTTTTGGCTTGTACTCATAAAGAGCTCTTGTGCAGTGTCTCCAGTTGGAGAGCTTGGGTGTCCTGAGGAGTGGCTCAGCTGCTGCGCTCTGCACTCAGGCTGAAGAGACAGCGAATCCAACAAAAAAGACCAAGGCTGCAAGTAAGAGTAAGACCATTTCATTCTGTTGCCCTTGTTTCAAATGTACGTTTTACTAACTGGTTGACAATGTGTATTTATATTCTATCTTTTCTTTTTTATCCACAGTGATACATACTATACTTCTATATATGGTTGCGATTTAAAGCTTAACATGTAACTTTATTTCACAGAGAAAGGTCTAAAAATGATCTCTTCCAGTCATCCATTCTCACCATAATTCAGTTTAAATAAGATTTTAAATAAAGTGTTTCTAATTGTGTTGAATTGTGAATGTAGATACTCTGAAACTATATCCAAGTTAATAAGCACTGCAAGTGTATGTATGTCTGTTATATTGTGTTGCGGTAATGTTTAAATTTTCTTTTCTGATAAATCGATTAAATTCCAGGAAAGCAGATTTGGATGCAAAATGAAGTCTAAGGAATTTCACTGTAAATACTTACATCAACTACTCTTGTCCCATTTACCATTTTCTTCAGCAGCAGAGACACCAGATGAGAGAGCAACTCTACTAGCCTACAAGACTGCAGTTGCCTTCCCAGTTAGATTTTCACAGCCCTGGGTTTTTCCCACACAGTCTATAGAGGTAGCTGAACCAGTGGCCAGTTCCACTGCCACTACAGAAGCAGTAGTTGCTGCCGCACCTACATTGCCTGTCACTGTTGCCAGTGATCCATCTGTAGCTATGCCACAGACAGAAGAGGCTGCATCTGCTTACTCACATCCGGCTCCCAGCCCAGATGTTGCTCAGGTTGTTGATGACACTCCTCCATCTGTAGTTGGCACATCAGCTGAGCCCCTGGTCAGTGCAGCTAGCAAAACACTAGAACCATTTGACAGTCCCACTGCAGCCTCTCCCTTAGATAATGGGGTCCAAAACACTGCACCTTCCTCTGATCCAGCAGCTGATATATCTTCATCCTCATTGTCCAGCTCAGACTCTGATTCCGACTCTGACTCTGACTCTGACTCTGACACTGGCTCTGGGGATGAGAAGTCAGAAGTGAGGACTGAGACCAAGACCTCACCACCACTTGTGGCAGAACCTATGAATGAAGAAGCAGAAGTTCATATGGTCACATTAGAGATGAAGGAAGGCACAATTGAAGATAAGAAGGAAATTTCAGAAGAAAATGTAGATTTTTCTGCTCCTGCTGTTAATGCTGATCATGACACTGCTCCAACAGTCTTAGCCTCCATAGAAGCAGCTCAAGCTACCATGGAGACACCCGCTGTCAATTCTAATGAGTTGGTAGATTCTGCTTCTGAGATCTGCACTGCTGCAGAAGACACTCTAGAGGGCACTGTCAGTAGCACTGTCTTAGCTGAGGCTGCTTTGAACCCTGCTCCACAAGTGGTAGAGGACATTGCACAACCTGCTGACCCTGGTTCTCATGTAGAAGCTCCAGCTGAAGTTATGGCCGAGGCTACAAATCCAGAAAAAAATCCATCTGATGCTCCTGTTGAAACTACAGATTGTGCCTCTGCTGAAGCCCTTGGAGAATCTGCTGAAGCAGCCCCTGAAGAAGCTACTACAGAGCCTTCAGAGGCTCAAGCTGCCCCCGCTCAAGTTGCTGCTGAGACTGCAGCTGAAGTGTCTGCTCCTGTGGAAAGCCCCAAGGAGCTGATGGACACTGCTCCAGTAATAGCTGAAGCTGTAGAAGCAGACCTGCAGGCAGAGGCCACAGTTGAACCATCTGAGGGTATACTACACCACCCTTCCCCCAAAATCTCTACTTCTCTGTCTCTTCTCTGTGGATCATTGAGATAATCAAACTTTTCTTTACTCATCATAACATATTGTATATTGTTAATGTAAGGCATCAGCTTCCTCACAGATGTTCATTGCTTTTGCTTTCACAGATTCTTTTAATATCATTCCTAAACTCTTCTAAACAGCCCTTTTCTGCATCACTGTGAAATCTAAACTTTCATTGCATTTGTTCACTGTGTGGTCAGGTGGGTGTAGTGTGCATGTATCTAAACCGTACATGCTGGGCTTTGGCACCTCCTCTCCTTTTTGTGTTTCCTGCATTTTGCTATTCTTTAACATTGCCTTTGCTTGCATTTTGCCAATTGTAATTTAGACTTGTTTATCTTTGACCCACCCGCACAACTATGCCGTCGCTGTCAATGTATGGTCAAAGTGACATTGCTTATTGCATACTGTGACACTAACCTTACTCAAGTTTCTGTTAAATTCCTCTCCTTTTGTGATTTGGGAATCTATTGCCTATATTTCTTTATTCCAGTTGCAGCTCACATTTTCCATCATCCTTCCCAGAAAATATGAATCATATTTTGTTCATTTTTATATATTTCTCACTTTGGCCTATTTTCTGTTGATACTGGTTCTGTTTGTAAGGACAATGGGTTACAGGACTCTGGACAGCCTCTGCAAAATTTAATACCTGGTTACAAGGGTTCTGAGTTAATGTTAAGGTTGCAGGTAATAACACCGTTGTTTTGTTCCACTGTGCCAGGTAATGCTATTGCTAAGAGTAAGAGAGTGCACATGGTCATACTGTGGTAATAGCTAAGACATGTTAAATGGCCTCCTTTCCCTGACAGCACCTGGATGAGCAGATTTGGGAGTGATTCGAGTCAGATGAAGTATTTCTGGAAGCAGGATCACAAATCACCTAGAACTTTTTGAAAAGAGAATTTGTATATATATATATATAATAATATATGACTCTATATTATGACTACAGTCCTTTCTGACCATTTTCTCTGAGCAGCTGTGTAATTCTGCTTCTAGGAATAAGGTGAGCAAATATGTTGCTCACATTTAAGCCTTTGGGATAAGCACTGCATCAACTAATGAATGTTTTTAAAGGTATTTATCTCTGATTGTTGATATGTATGACACTTTCCTCTTTCTTATATATTGTTTCTAACCTTACTGTCATAGCATGCTGATAAGTCTTCTACACTGATTTAGGATAAGTGTTTTGGTACTGAAGGGACATTACACATATGAGTAATCAAAAGCATCAAAGCCTTGTTCATGAAACATTGATTTGTCCTTAATCTATTTCTTACATGTCTCTGGTATTATTTTTTTTTTCTAGTGGGCTTCCTTTACTCTCTAAAGGTCACATGCTTTCCTCTCACAAACATATTCCTTAAGGGTTTTCACACCAGTATGTCTCCACACTCTGTTGGGGGTAATGCAGTGTGTCACCATAGGAAATGCTCCACTATAAATCACCTTTGTCAAAATGTGTGAATTTGTTGATGTGTGGTCCTTTTAAGAACCTTTCAAAATAGTTTAAAAGAAAACTACATTTTGTTATAATTCTATTGATTATCAGATATGCCTAGATCAAATATTAATAACGGCCTTTGTTACCTGAAATATAGGGAGAGTGATAAGGACACAGATGAGACCCAGGATTGCATTTGGTCAACATTGTGCTATTTCTGTTAAAATACACAGCAGAAAGACTATAGATACCAATCTTTGCCCCAGACCTTCTTACATGCCCTTTTGTTTTTCCCCTCCTCCCGCAGAGATTGCTGCAGCGGCACCTCCTGAGCCTGAAGAGCCATTTGACAACAGCACTTATAAAAACTACCAGCACCACTGCTACACCCCCTACACATTTGCTGACCTGGATGTAGAGATGGCAAAGTTTCGTCTCCCTCAGCCGTCGTCTGGCAGACCCTCACCCAGACACTAGAGGAGCGTATAGCTAAAAACCACAATATTTTGGTGATGCTGTTTTTTCCATAAGGTCATCCCCCACCAGTCACAGCTTGAGCTTCGGCTGTTAAAAATCTAACATTATTAAAGTTCACAAATAGGAAATTAAGTCTGCTTTTGCCTGGTGTGATTCTGTTCTGACTCACAAAAAGGAGTAGGTGTGTAAAGCGATAAGAAAAGATCAAACGCTTCTTTTTTGTGCTGCTATTCTGCCTCGAGGGCATCATTTAAATAGAGCTGAGTGTGCAAGTGGCTCATCTGTATTTCTCTTTTAAAGATTATAATTTCGAGTCTGAGCCTGCCTCCCTATACCCAATGCCCTAGTTATCCTGGCTATTTAGTTATTTTACGAGTAATCAATCAGCTATTGTTATTAGTGTGTTAGAGTACGCATGAGAGAATCTGCATAAATGAGTGTAAGCTGGAGATATGTGCGTTGTGTAAGTGAGAGCACTGACTAGCGAGCAAAAACCCCAGCAGGGTGCAGAGGGACGTCATGTCCCCGCCCCCTCACGAATATTCATTATCCGAGCGCCCCAGCGTGCCCTTACGTGATGACGCACCGCGACAACTGCGGGTCCCGATTGCTGCAGCCGCTTGTCAGTGTGACGAAGATTGGCACCCAGGTAAGCTGTCACTCAAAATCCCTCTTTTTCCGTTCCCTATCAATCAAACAATCTGGGCCGCACGCAAAAATGCCCCGGGGCGAGCAGAGCGGACCTAGTGAGGGCAGCGGAGTGTGCTCGTGGAAAGGAAACACGGGCGGCGTAGCTCCGGGAAGAATAAAAATAACCTGTATACAAGAGGAGGGGGTAAAAAATATGTCGGCGTTTTGGGAGCAGAGGAGGATTGTGGAAAGGCAAAGGGCGAGAGAGCAAGAAATGAGGCCCGATAGTTGTGTGGCTACCGCGGAGGGAGGGGAAGGACAGTGCAGCTGTCTACGCGTTATTGATTCATGTGGAGAGGCTTTTAGGAACTACCCAGTTCTCCCGGAGAGGAGACAGTACTTCTTAATGTGACTGCAGTCGAATTGCTGGGCACGGTTGACCAGAAATGCATATTCATTCACAATGTTGATTCAAACATGGTAATACTGCTAATGCTTGTTACTCGAGCTAACGGCTTGCGTTGTATCAGTCCGCAGCGGGTCCTTTTAGGACCTGGCTAGCGAGTTTAGCTTGTTTTCTGGCAATGATTCCCTTGCTAAATATGGCGCTTTGCATTTTAGGTGCACCGCTCACACGTTAGAAACACTTCAAGTAAATAGTTAGCTACCTTGTTAACGTTAGCTGTTGCTCGGCCCGAACGGCTGCCCTTTCTGAGTTGGAGTCAACGAGCTAATGCGAATGTAGCGCTAGCGTAACAGACTAGCTAGCTCAATATTGTTGAAAAACAAAGCATACTCTAACCGAACTAGTTTGTCGCCGCATAACACCAACATGATCCTAGTTGGAGGACAATTGTTTGCCCAAATATTATCTCAAACTTCGATTTTCCCTTGCCGCCACAAATGATATGTGAGTAGCTAAGACCAGGCTAAAAGCTAAGTCCATCGTGGTGGGTGTGTTAATATCAGTAACGGGATATTATCATACGTCCACTACTGCGGGTGTCAATTTATCAATCCCTTTGATTTAAGAGTCAGTGAATAGACATGTTTATGACTATTAAAAATGGAAATGTATCTAAAATTACTGTTTTTGTCCTCAGATTTCCACCAACATTTACATTATTCTTGTCAAATGTTCATTACTTTTGCTTTTATCCTACATTTGACATGTACCTTGTTAGCTAACTTTAAAATTTATTAGCTTTAATGTTCAACGTTAAGTCTGTTAAGTTAGACTTTTGCCTGTACATTTAACATCAAATTTAGTAAATAATGGACACCATCGAATGTTTGTAGTTCCTTAGACATGTTTGCCCAGTTAAAATAGCTAATAGTGTTTTAAACCTGACATCACGATAGTCATCGTTACATGCCTACATTATGGGTACCTCATGCAGGTCAAGTCTATCTTGACAGGTTGAGTCTGACTGAAATTATGCATTGTGTAGGTTGGCCACCTGTCCCTGCACACTATAATGCCCCAGTGTTTGCAGCATCTGCAGTGAACGTGATGGCAGCCCAGTCGGTTTCCATAGACAAGTATCCAAAGGGAGAGCAGCAGGTGGGTGAGAGGGACAAGACCTACATTTACAATATTCTGCAGTGTTTTGACAGTGATACGTCTACCTGAATAACCAAACAAAAGGAAACGCTGAATATATTTAACACAAGAACACAAGCAATTTTGATGCTATCACATTGGTTTTAGTAATCTGATTTCACTGTGCTCTGTTTGTCCACGGTGGGCCACCACAAATAATTCACTGTATGAGGAACACATGCAATATAAAACCCTATTTATGCCCACTGTTTTTAAGCTACTCTTGCAATCTGCCTACAAAACATCTTTATTCAACTGCTACATTTGAGGGGGTCTAGCTGAGAAAAATCTATGACTAATGAGACATTTTATACCTCAAGCAAGTAATTATTTTTAGCCTGTTGGCACTCAATCTGAGTCATTGTTGGGTTCAGTCACATTGGTTGGGGATGGTGTTATTGCTAGTATTAGTGGAGGGGATCCTTGGGTAGGAAAGCACAGTGTGAGAATTTCTGTGAAAAATGTATGACCCAGGTCCTGGATTATATAAAATGCTATCAAATCATAACATCAGATTGGGTAGTGGTTAAGTCGGTATTGTAATAGATCACTGTGGATGCAGTCTAGCCATTCTGTGTCCACAAAGAAAGTCAAGAGACCAAACACTGTGACAAAATGCAGATTTAAGTGCATCGCACCATCACAGATCATTTTCATGTCAAAATAATTATGTTTTTAAGTCTAACCATGAGAAAAAAGTATCTCAAATCAAATTACACAACAAATGGTGCTGGTGATTGGCAGTGACAAATATTGGACTGACAACTCATGACACTAATACCTATTTTGTTTGTTGAATGTCAAAGCAAACATGACTTCATGCTTCCTTTTCAAAGAATACTGCACAGTTTTCAGTCCATGTCATCATGACTTTACAAAGTTTTATATTGAACCAAGACTACTCTGTTAAACTTTGCCCTCCAGCCACTCTGGTTCTTCACATGATCATTTTATGTCAGTTGTTCTCTGCCTTTTTCTTCACCTCTTCTATCTGTTTCTGTCTCCATTGCTTTTTTCATCTTAATGTCTTTCTCTGCAGTTGCAAGGTGTGGTAAAAGTAGACAGTGATTCAGAGCAGAAGTTTGAGGGGACGTTGGCAGAGGTGCCCAGCCCGGCAACAACAGAGCCGCAGACACCCATGGACGCGGACAAAGCCTCCATATATCGGTAGACCAAATTCTGCATGTGTGCTTTGTGTGTTTGTTTAGATAGAGAATAGAACAATCCCCCTCTATTCTTAAATATCTGTCCTCCTCGTCCCCTGTTGGAACGCAGATTTGCCAGTAACTAAGTTGCCCTAAGGAAACCTCACATGATATTTGTGAAGCTCTCCCCTTTGTTCATGTGACTTTCATATTACTCTCCGGTATTTGAAATTCAAAAGGGCCTGTTAAGACCAATGCTGATATATTAGTCTTGCATTAACAAATGGGTGTTTTTGTTGTATTGTGTGTGTGTGTGTGTGTGTGTGTGTGTGTGTGTGTG